TACTTTTGCTTCTCAGTTCTTTCCTTCCCACCCACCTACCCGCCCTCTCCCACAAACACACTTTTTTCTTTCTTCTCACACCAGAGCCACAGAAGCAGCCTGGACCACTATCCCAAGACATTTACATAATTTAATACATTTGTAAATTTTGGTTCTGTATTTATCTCTGCCCAGACCTAACATGGAGTACTAAAGATCATTGGAGAAACTGACCTTTATGTCCTCTATCCTGGTCAACTGAATAATATAAATAAAATAATTTTATATTTGGGCATATTTTAGTGAACATTTTTTTACAATCTATATCTTCAAGTACTGAATTCTGCCATACTTTTTCATTTTCCATTTATAGGATGTCTTCTCTACCATCATTCCAGAACTTTTTCAAGGCATGCAACTTATGTCCTGTCTCTACTGAACTTTTTCTAAAGAAATGTATAGGATGGATAGGGTTTTTTTTTTATCAATGGCCATTAAGCTAAAGTTTTAAGATCACTTTCCTTTTAATTTCAGTCTGCCTTCAATAACAATTGATTCAGTGGTATTACCTATTACAGGGCTTACTTTAAAATGTTATGTTTTTCTTTTAAACTTCTGTTCTTATTCTTGAATGTTGCCCAGAGTTCTTTTAGCTTGAGTCAATTATAATAAATAGGTAAATAAAGTTTCTGAATTAACCTAGGTATTCTGTCACATTCAGCATAGTGGAAAACAAACATACCTCTCTCTCTCTCTCTCTCTCTCTCTCTCTCTCACTTACTCACTCACTCTGTGTGTGTGTGCGCGCACACACATTTCTTTTTCAGACACATAACTACAAAACTCACATCTAGAGGTTTTTCATTCTATTTCTTTTTAAATTAAATTAAATTAAAACACATTCAAGACTGTGTCAATGATCGTTTACCCTTGATAGCAACCAACCATTTATGCAGTTATTCATTTAATTTGACATGAATTCTAAGACAAAGATAACACATTTTCTGTTCTGCTTTCAGTACCCATTCCAACTCATTTAACACAAAGAAAAAGAACAATCTTACATTGGCACTGATATTCTACAGGGGAAATAATTATTGCATCACATTCCAGTTTTAATAAACCAATCTATCTTGTGAAGTGGGAGAAAGACTCTCCAGATGCAGTCAAATGTTAATTCAGTCATTCTGGAACTTCTGGAATTTGCTAACCATTGTGGAATGCTACATTCCATTGAATTAACAGAGAATGATTGAACATCTAAGGTGTGCATCTGTTTTCTCTCAAGCATTTTAAAAATTCTGAAAATGTTGTGCCAATGTTGATATTTACAAAATTTCTACAAAACAGAATATGAACTACACCTTGTTGTAAATAGCATGAGAAAAAAAATGACTTCTGCATATTGCCCACAGAAAACCATGAAGCTGCTGATTAAGGTTAGTTTATAAATCAACTACTAATAGCACTTCAATCAAAAGGTACAGAAAAAAAATGGGAGCTAGCCATAGGTACAGGTTGGAGAAACATGTTTTCACCATTGTTTATAATTAAGCAACAAATATAACCACAATGAAAAGCATTTTTTACAAAAAATAAGACAAATAATAAATACAACAGTAAAAGATAGGATTAAATTTAGGTTAGGGAGAAAACATACCACAGTGACCTATCAAGTCAGAATGTTATTATTTCCTTCCTGCACCTCCCCTTAAGTGTGGTGTACAAAATAATTGTGCACCAATTAAAAAGTTAGAAAAAGTTATAGTGTCATATGATTCCATTCGACAATTTTACAGTTGCATTCTGCAACACTTACAGCTTCTAGACCATCTTAAATAATAGCAGCTCAAAGGGCATTAGAGTTACCCATTATTCGGATAAAAGTAATAGAGGTAAAAGTATCTTAGCCTAGAAAAAATAACAGTTATAAGTTAACTGGAACTATATGTAAGCCCTTTCCTGTAGCGACGTCTTTAAACCAAGGAAGCATTTAAATCACATTTTTTCAAAGCACTGCAACCTCATCTATCTTCCTAATTTTCAAATTGAAAACTCAACTCAGTTATAACAAAAGTGTTTAGTTTCTGTTTATTGGCTCTTGGGCCAGGGATCATCAACTTCCTCAGAGTGGAAATTCTTATGTGATGGTCAAGCTCTCCTAAAACCACAAGATTTTAAACATGCAAATATTGGGAGGTGTTCTTTTGTGAGATTAATCCTAGACCAAACCATTCATATAAATCAAGTTATTTCAGAATATTGCATTCTCTGATATACTAACATGCAAAGCAACCCACTGTGCTGTAATGGTTAAGGCATTGGACTGACACCAGGAAAACCCAGCTTCTTGTCCACTCTTAACCATGGAAATTTACCAGATGATTTTGGCTCAGTTATTCTTTCTCAGTCCAACCTACCTTGTATGGTTTTTGCATAAAAACTATGAACGTTGACATGAGTTCCAGAATAAAAAAAACAAATATTGCAGCTGTATTACCAAAATGAAATAAAATATGGAAGCTGAGTTGTTTCACAAATATGAAATATAGAAAGAAAATGAAACACTCAAAACTTAAAAAAATTCAAAGCAAGTCAGCAGGCTGGGGATGAAGACTAACATTTAACCCAAGAGCAAATATTGCACTGTTTAACCAGAAAATTGCTGTGTTTCAAAATATTTAATCAGCAAGAATTAGGAACATATGGATAATGTTAATAATTATCTGGAAAATAGTATATGTAACCATTGTGACAGGCTTATTAAAGAGGTGGAGGAGGAAAGGTTTCACCCAATCAGTCCTCAAACTGGTAAAGAAACTAGGTGAGAGCATGTAAGGCAGAAGACTTCCAACTGAAATATATGCATTAATAAGCTGGAAAGCTGCTCTCTTTAAAAGGTAGATTAAGTAACAGTAGAGATAAAGTGGGGGCGGGAACTCTGACAATTTCCTTTCAGGCAAACAAATGAGAAAGTTCAGTGAAAGGGCAGGACCAAAAAACGTTGGAAACAGACATAAAAATACTGTCAAGTTTCAGTCAATTCACCATTCAGCACATGGCAGAAAAGAGCTGAGCTGTTCTGCTTTGCATCAATTACATATGAGAAGGATTAAAGGTCATAAAGTGGTTAATCCAAGACTTCAGATGAATGAGGAAGAGATTCTTATAAACGGCAATTGTTAGTCTCACTTCCAAGGTGAGAGACGCTGAAACCCAGAGTTGAACAAATTATGCTGCTGAAGCAAACTATTTTTTTTTCTCTTCCTCTCCACCCTTCCCATGGCAAAATGGCAGAAGATCCAGTTTAGAATCCATTGTGTTTCTTGCTCTTTCCCTCTGTTTGGCAGAATCATAGTATATTACATGTATAATTCCCTAACTCTTTTTCGTAGTGCAGTGATTATAAACAGGGCATAGGGGAAACCACATTTTCACTCCCTATCATTTGGTTGCCACCTTATACAAAATGGTACCCAAGGATGTACTGATTACCTTTACTACCACATGACTGCTATATAGCAGTAAGGTCGTTTGATAGCTCTTACCTGAATGGTGATCTTCCTGACATCACTTCCCATCAATCACTGGTGTAAACTAAGGGAGGATTAGTACAAAAAGCCACATTCTACTTGTCTGGACTGCAGTGGCTAAAACCATTAAAACCTCATGTCTGAAAGCATTAAAACAACAGTTCTCATGTAAAAATTGGACAGCGTTCAGGGTAGCTGGGAATTTTGAAAATTGTAGTTCAAATATATATGGGGACCATCAGGCTGAAAATGGCTTTGAAAAACAAAATTTACCTTGCTGGATGAGACCACTGTTTCAATTCATCAGAAACTTTATTTCGAACACTGATCAGCCAGACAGCTTTTAAAACGTTCCTGTTTCTAGATGACAGTACCATTTAGGATTATGGATGATAACTATCATATAATAGCCAACATATATTTATGTCGAATGTCAGCTGATAGCCATCAGAAGCCATTTTCAGTAATTACAACTGAGTAGCTATGTTTTACTTACTTATTATATAAGAAATTTGTATATCCTGACTATTTCCAGAAACTCTGGATAACTGCAATTCTATAATAAATATAGGCCTTAGTAATATTCAATGTATGTAGAAAAAATTCAAAAGTCCAAACTATTTTTCCTAAGCACATTTTATAATTCTGGAAGATAAGCATCAATTATAAATCTCATAACTACATTAATGAAACATGTCCTCCTTAGCAAAAGCTGATAATTTGTATGATTTCTGAGTAAGCTCCAAAAGAGGCAGGCTTATAAAAAATGCGAAAATGCATGTGACTTGTTTATTTAGCCTTTACAACTGAATTAAAGGGGAAATGTTCTAATATTCCATAGTAGAAATATGGAAAATATAATACAAAACTACACGGAGAAATGATTTTCTATATTGTCTTCTTCTAGGAAGCCCAGCTGAAGTCATTTGAAAGATTTGACTAACCAATTTTTGATAATTTTAAACTATTGATCTTCAAGTGAAATAGAGAATGTATGGTCTATATAAAAATCAAGGATTTTGTTGGTCTGTAAAGAATTACCGTATTTTTGGGAAATGAAAGATCAATGGCATGTTAGAGCAGCATTTGGGCTGACCTGATTATTCTGCTGAGCTGAAAAAAAACCTTACCTCCAAGGCAAAGATGTCACTGTCTCAGAAATAAATATTAAGTCATAAAACCTAAACTTGGAACAACTCCTGTACCCTGTATAAGACTTATGTTGAGCATGTAAGTCCTTCATGCATTGTGAAAGAGTACTAGATGTCCTCAAGGTTAGCATGATTTTTGCCAAGACTCTTATTTTTAAGTAATTCTTTAAGATGTAGTATTAATATCCAGGAAAGCAGCATAGAAGTTGAAATGTATTACAATGGTGTCCCTTTGATTACACCTGCATGTTCTTCTTAAAAGTTCCAATATGGGACAGATGATAAATGGGAAAGCCTTCAAAAACCTCACCTCATTGTAGCATAGAACTTTACTCACCTTTTCTTCCAGAATTACCCTGTCCTAATGGCCGGTCAGTTACTGAGCCTTAAACAAAAAGCAAGTATGTTACTATATGAGCACAACATTCACTGGTATCATCCAAAGTAAAGTCCAATCTATAGACAAGCTTCAAAGCACTATGCCCATAGTAGTAGTTAGACAACTGGAACCAAGCAATAATCTAATCTCTACACTTACTGCTTTGCCTGCCAGTTCTGTATTAGGTCTGCCCTTTAACTGGATTAAAATTGAAATAAACTTATGAATTACAAGGACAAAAAAAAGGCAGTCGGGAAAATTGGTGATGTGACCAAGCTGATGAAGGGACGATAAACAGCATGGCCAATGAACTCTGGTAATTTGGTTATTGATCAGAACTATAATTAATATTAAAAAGAACACTGTAGAGCCAATGGATATTTTTACCATAGATGTGCAACAGAATTAGGCAATGTAGCATAAATGGTTAATGTAAGAGTTGTGCTATCCAACTAAACCCAAATCAAGTTCTTCTGAAACTAATCACTGTGAAATTATCAGAAATTTTTTTTCCAGACGTGGTAAGAATTTAAATTATTTCATTCTTAAAGATTTCTGTCCAACAATAACAAGTAACAATATACCATTTATTTATAAAAAAAGAAGTACGCTACTCAAACAGAATCAAGAAACTATTTTTGTTATCAATATATGTTTAGCAGTAGAGATAGTCCTTGACTTACAACCAGTCACTTAACCACCATTTGAAGTTACAACAGACTCAAAAATCTTTACTGCACTTACAATCCATCCTCGAAGTTATACCTGCCGCCCCACCCCACCCCCATGGTCACATGATAGCATTATGGGTGCTTGGCAACCAGCTCACATTTACGACTGGCTGCAGTGTCCCATGATCACATATTTCCATTTTGCAACTTTTTTGCCATTTTCCAGCAAAGAAATGGCAAAAAAGGTCCACTGGACAAGCTGGATTCTAAATTACAACCACATTATTTATTTAATGACCATGGTGACTAGTTTAGCAACTCTTGTAAAAATGATTGTAAAATCAAGTCCAGTCACATGGTGACTTGACTTACAACTGTAACCACTTTCAACCAAAAGTCTCTGGGCTCATTTGTGATCATAGATCAAGGACCACCTGTAACTCCAATTGTTATCTCTTGACCAGCAATGTTTCAGCCACAAGATGGACAACCATGTGCACAGTACAGTTTGAACTGTTGAGCTGTATTAACTGAATTTTAAAGATTATAAATGCAAAGAGCTTATTCCTTTCAAAATATGCAAACCTTTTTTTCTCTGCCTTCAATACCTGAGCATACAGGAGTTTTGTTCTGCACAGAAGAACCACTGATAGGCTTGCCATCTGGAGTGACACACCAGCAATATCCAGTGTAGGTGTGGCACTGGACCTGTTGGAGAAAACAGATGGTTAGTTTTGCAATATGCCTCTGGCTCAGTATTAATCCAATAACTTTCCTCTATTTAAAAATATATTTTCAGGAATAAGTAAACATATTTCATGCATATTAGCGTAATGGTTTGTTATGCTGCACAGCGTGCAATATTTATAGTTCAAACATTAATATTATTTCAAGAGAAGGTACTGCTCTTAATCATTTTACAGGAAACTATAAACCCCAATTTGTGCTGTGTGCTGTCTTTTTTATATTACTATTCAACGTTACCTTCCAATTTTATCCACTAATACTTAGTGGATGCTGCTTGATTATATTTTGTTGCTCAATGTGCTGCTTGAACCCACTTGCAGAATTAATAAACGGCGATGTCCAGAAAATCTCTTTTTAGCTATGTTTCTGCAACTGAAAGTAAGTTCTTAGAGTGAATAGACATAGAGTTCAATCTGGGTGGGTCACCAGGACCAGAGGTTTAGTCTTCCATGCTTTTGGACTTATGCTGGAGCCCATCCTCAGGGAACTTTTCTCTAGCAGAGTGTGTGCTTTGGGCTTTTCTGTGTGTGATATTTATATGGTGCCTGTTGTGTGTGGCTTTTTAGTTGTTGATTAGGGTCCACCCCAAGGATAACAAATTGAGCAATGTGATATAAACAGTACAATACAGTGAGACAGGTACAGATCTGTACATTGGAGAAACAAACCACCACTCATGGCACAACATAGGAGAACAAACCAATCTGGATAAGATTCAGCAGCCCATCTACTTTTGAAAGACAAAGGTCCCTTTTTTGAAGATATCAAAGTCCACATTCTGGATAAAGAGGATTTCTGGTTTGAAAGAGGGGTCAAAGAGGCCATCTACATTAAGATTAGCATTAAGATGCTCTCTCTCATCAGAGGGGGAGGGATACGACATCGCCTATCTCCTGTTTACAATCCTTTCAGCAGTTCCAAGAAGGTTCCACACCTATTTGCATTATTCAGGTGACCCTGAGGGCACAGGTAAACCTCCAGGGGGCCTCTATATTTTGTACATGCACACATATTTTATGAAGATATCTGATAGACCATACAAATAATTAAGATGGATGGGTGGTAATTGGCCCAGAAAATTTGAGGCTCTAATGACTCAGGAAGTATTTGTGAATTTTGAAAAGGAAAGGACACTGCTTCACCCACAATTGTTTATGGATTTTCCACTATTCATTACATTTTATTAGTTAACTATGTAAGAGAAAGTATGAAACTTTGGAGATCGTAATAAAGGTCTTACTTGGGTAAATGATCCATCCTCATGACATTCTGGAATGAAGACTGCTTCTTGTGGCTTCTTCACTTGATCCAGTGCTTGGGCTCTTTCTAATCTGCATTTGCTCTGACCAGCATCTATGAAGAAAATCCATTCAGAATTTAAATAAAGATAAGCAATATATCAAAAGCATATGACATTTCAATGAAAATAAGTGCAGAAGAAAAACAATCAAGCTTTGCTGAACATTTATTTATATACAGAGCCTTCATGATATGTTTAATTATTAACCACCAGTATGTCAAATAATGAGGGATTATAACAGTAGACCTAGGTATATCAGCGGAGCAGCTAGAATTAACATTAACAAGGTATAAGTCAAGGTACATTCCTACCATAATCATTTTATTCTGGATGAGATTTTTATTTTAAAAAACTCTGTGAAAGCAAGGAATAAGTAATGTCTAAAGCAGCTTCAAACATATAAATGCTAATGAGCTTACCTTTTAAATTATTCTGGAATTTTTTTACCAATATCAATAAAAATAGAGGACTACTTCAAATTATCCTGCCCTTCTAGTTGAGCAGTTATTCCCCCTTACATTAGGAAAGATCCAAATTAGTTGGAAATGCCCCTCTGTCAAAATGTTTCCAATATTTATGATAACACACTACTAAAAACAGGTAAAAATCCTAGTGGGGGAGAAATCAGCTGCCCCTGGCAATGGCATATTAAGACACTCTTTCCAACCAGATTGCTACCCTGAGTTAAGTGACAATTTAAGAAGGGAGCAGAAGTCTCAAAATATGTCTCATTTATATAAGTAGATTTCTATATATAACCACCTGCATATTAGAAGCACCTTATTTCCCCCCCTCCATTCAGTACATTGTTCAGAGCACCGGGTACAATGTCCTATGTGCAAGACGTAAAATATTAGAAATATCTTCACCCAAAAAAAGGAATTTAAGAGTAAATTCGCATGTGGAATCCAGTTAGCCAGGGATAGTGGATTTGAAGTTCAAAGATGATCATATGAAAAGAGAATATAATTGTCCAAAACTAGTAGAATCTACAGGCAATTTCACACAAATATATTTAATATCTAATTCATTTGCCCTTCCTGAGACATGAATGCATATATGGCTTACAATATTCTAAGCTGGTGGTTCTCAGCCTGTGATCTGCAGACTCCCGGGGGGCTGTGATGTCGTCACGGGGTGTGTGTGTGTGTGTGTGCAAAGACTTGAAGAAATGTTATGATTTAAATTTTGAGTTAAGTCTTAGGGCTCTGTGGCCACAAAAGGCATTTAAAGGAGGTCCATGATGAAGAAAAAGCTGACAACCACTGTTCTAAGCTATTCAGATGTCCTTCACCTCTCAAACTTAACTTTTCCAGAAAATAACACATAACAAATTCTACCAATTAGAAGACTGTGGAATCCTTTTCACAAATAAGATTAAAAATGGCATCTCAATTCCCAATGTTTGTTATGATGCTCTGATCATGATGCTCTGATCTTACATTGTTAATTTGATCTGAAAATGACAGTTGTTTCTGTGGCCCATTAGCTTGCAGCCCTAAAAAAAAAAAAAAAAGCCTCATATTCTGCCAATCATTATTTTAATCTTTTACTCTCTATTAGCATACCCAGCCTCCTCTCCAGGCCCTTTTATTTGCCAAAGATGTCTGAATAATTATTTTTAGGCAAACATATATTTCCAATTTGTGTACCTAGCTTAAACAGCGTCAAACTGAGCTATGAAAAAAACGCGTCCAATATTTCCACCTCAGATGGAGAGAAGCGCCTTTTTAAATTCCTTACCTTTACATCTGCCTCGATGTGCCACATTCAGACTGGAATCCTTGCACTTCGCTCTCTGATAATCACACATTGATTCATAGGTCCTGCCATCGGAAGCGCAGAGAGGCTTGACAGCAGATCTGGAGCACTGAAGGTTACACTGAGGATCTTGGTCGTGGTCACTTATTAAAAACTAAAGACAGCAGAACAGGTGGGAAAAAAATGTTAAATTTTAAAAATAATCTACAGATTATGATAGAACTGCAATATTTTGGATTTGATTTCAAAAGGATTCTTGAGGATGTAGGAGGAAATAATGACCTGTTTAAAATGCTTTACTGAAGGGGTCTTCAAACTTGGCCCTTTTATGACTTGAAGTCCACAAGTCATAAAAGAGCCAAGTTTGAAGACCCCTGCTTTACTGCTTTGTACATTTCTGCATGGTTCTTCAGTTCTGAATATAACTGAAAAAATAAAATTGCCAATAAAAGATGTGGCTCTTAGTATTTCAAATCTTGAATTGTATCATTAACAAATGCCTTCTGGTATCAAATTCTGAACATTTTAATTTATTGTGAATTTCTCCTTCCTGCTGCTTTTAGAAGATTTGTAAAGGTAGTCTTCAGGTTACAACTGCCAAGTGAGACTGCCTGGATTGCTGTTGCTAAGCAGTGTTGTTACCTCTCTAAATTTTTCTTCTCTCTTCTTTTATTAAATAAAAATGTTGCAGTTCTGCAACAACCTGCTGATATATTTCAGTATTGGACAATCATAACAAAACAGGAGTGATACAACCAAACAATGGAGGAAACTGTCAAATGGCAAAACTGAACAGATGAGATTCATATTTTAATGTTAAAATTTCAAACATGATAACTTTAATCCTTTCTGTATGTTATGAGGCAAGGGGAAGTATACTTAAAAAAAAAAATCCGTCTTATGTTGACCTGTAGTCAGTCTAAGTTCAAGAATAGCCATTATAGGAATCCAAAAACTGCAAATTTCATGGATGCTCCAATTTAGTATTGTTATTGTTGTTGTTAATTGCGAAGTCGTGTCTGACCCATCATGACCCCATGGACAATGTTCCTCCAGGTCTTCCTGTCCTCTACCATCTTCTGGAGTCCATTTAAGCTCACGCCTACTTGCTTCCGTGATTCCATCCAGCCATCTCATTCTCTGTCGTCCCCTTTTTCTATTGCCCTCAATGTTTCCCAGCATTAGGCCCTTCTCCGGTGAGTATATGGGGTATAAATTGGGATATAAGAAGCCTGCTTATCATTTCAAATTAGTTTTTTATACCATAAAAGCCTAAGCAAAGAGATGTTTTGACACCAGAAAAATAACATGCTTGCCAGTGCCTTCACATAGGGTTACTGTAACCGAATATGTCTTGTTAGATAAAAACCCTAATACCAGATTTTAGGATTGGTCACTTTCTATTCAAAGTGCCCCCCCCCCCGTCCTTGGGTGGCAATTAGAGGAGAGGAACCCTTTGGGAAATCTTCCAAGATAACAGTTGCCCTTAAACCCCTTCCTTTTCAACATGCATTTACACAGGTGCATGATTATGGCCACTTTCCAGACTAATCCCAGCCTCCTTTGACCTGGGAAGAGAGCAAATGCAAGATAAGAGAGGTCAGCCTAAAGTTAAATATGCACCCCCAAGTCCATCTGCTCCATCTTTCCACACCTCGGCACTATTGCTGACAACAACAACAAACACTGATTAAAGAACTTCAAATGTCTCTGAGAAAAGGGCAGATTACTTGCAGCTGTTCAACAGCTGGAACCACTTTTAGAATTTGACTCAGGAAGGATCCGTCCCCATAAAGCCATAAAGAAGAGATGTTTAGCAGTTCGTACCCATGTACATCATAACATACAACTAGGGAGCATATGTGAGCTTTTGTGAAATTACAATCAGGTGCCCCAAAGTCTCTGTACTACAGCAGAAGCAAGAATGGATCAATCCCTACCATTCAAGAAGAAAAGAGGACATGATGGATTAAAACAAAACAAAGGAACCATGTTCAGGGAAAGAAAATAGAAGAAAAGCAGAATGTGTTAGTACTCCTCTTCAGTATTTAAAAACAAAAAAAAATAGCTTTTAACAGCTGACAGATACTAAAAGTTTGCAACTAGCCTTTCCTGCTGCTTGAGTCACTGAAGCACTTGCACATCAAAACTATCTTGTTTTATTGCCAATCTCCTTTGCAACTGTATCTTACTGCTTCACTATCATAAATCTGTAGGAATGGATGAGTTGTTTGGCTATTCCTTAATAATAGGAAATATGTTCCTCTAGGTCAGTGTTTCTCAACCTTGTGAGATGTGTACATTTCAACTCCCAGAATTCTCCAGCCACAGAACTGGCCTAATATACAGTAGCTGCCAATACTAAATCTTTTCCTAATTTGGAGCTCTTCTGTTTTATTTTAGTGAAAGGATTAATAGACAGGAAACATTGGGTGAATACAGATAGATCAGTCAAGGGTTTGCTGTACTGTTTAGAAACAAAAATATAACTATTCAATTTAAAAAGTCCTCTAAAGCTTGCATTTCTTTACATTGAGTAAACATATCACTTATTGAGAAAAAAATATTGCAAAGTGCTGTATATACTTAAATTAAATTAGCCTTATATATAATAAATACATGCTAGATACCTCTCTTCCATATGGCTTCCAATGCAAATCTCTTGGCAACATGATGTACAAATATTAAAACAGGCCAGGTATTCTCTGGATGAACATGAAATTATCCTAGACCTAGAGAAAGAACTTTCTATTTGCTTTCCACACATTCAGTAGCTCTCTCAACTATATTGGGGTGTAATATTAAAACTTAGATCAGCCTTTCCAAGCTGGTGGCATACAATGGCACTGGGTCCAACTTTCACTATTCCTAGTTTTTGTCCACACTCACCGAGAATGCTGGATGTTAGAATCCTAGCAAATATGGATGCCAGGCTGGGCAAGGCTAGCTCACATGTCGGGTAGAAAGTACAATCCTCTATCCGCAAATGCTATGTTGTCTATTGCTCCCCCCCCCAATGGTCATAAATTAAATTACAGTCAAAATATTTTTTCTGAAAAAACATCTTGGTCAAAATCTTGATAGATTTCTCCTGAGATTTTCAGTGGTTTAGGAATGGAAGCAAGTCATCCTATGATTGCATGCTGTGTTTGAAGATCCCTGTGATCTATTATTAAATGGAATTTGGATGCAAATGTATGTGAAAACCACTTGTATTTTTATACTGATTTTGAAAGAGATATTGCAATATCAAATATTTATATTTGAGAAGTTTCCTTTCTATCTTCATTTTTAGGCCTACTTCTAGGCAATTATTTTAATGAGTTCTTCATGTTTTTGCTGTTGCAGAGTTTACCAGCAACTGTATCATCCTAGTCTTACAGTAATTGTTGCTAAATCAGAGACCAGATTTAGTGTAGCAATACAAGCATCCACAAGATAAACAATAGTGCAGCATCAACTCCTGCATTATTTTGGAATATCTCTTTGGTAAAGTAAAGCATTTACCCCCGTTCTAATGCTTCTGTTGCTGCTTAATAGTCACATCTTCACATTTTAATAAGTAATTTCCATTTGTGCCAATAGCATTTAGTATATTTTTAAGCACTACATAATTATAATCTCTAGAACTGCAATTGCTTAATATTAATTGCTTAATATTAAACACATTTTTATGAGCTGCATATGAATATACAGATTTACAACAATGATTCATTCTGGATCTAAACACTGTTTGGTGTAATATGCACCATGATTGGAAAAAATATTTTGACCAATAGATAATTTTCCATACATTATACAAAATTAACTCTGTATAATAAAATTGTATTATGCAAACACAAATATGCAAACAATACGGTTTCCCTATTTAATACTATAGCATCATCTAAATACAATTTCTCAAGCTTTTTTGGTGTTAAAAGAAAAAAAATTGAGATACTCTCTAGTCCAGGGGTCCCCAAACCCTGGGCTGTGGACCAGTACCGGGCCCAGCATGCCAGCAACTGGTCCGCATAAACAAGGAAAGCCCCATCCACAGGATGCAGGCAGCACACAAAACCACACCCCCTCCGGTCCACGGAAAAACCTCTCTCCACGTAACGGGTCCCTGGTGCCCAAAAGGTTGGGGACCTCTGCTCTAGGCAGAAGTATAGAAGAAGAAAAAGAAGTCACACATCCATCATACTATGCCAACTAAACAGAATAGCATATAAAACAAGAGACAATAATATCCAAAATTATAAGAGCAAGACTGGCTCCACAGAGAAGAACTCCCACCCACCGCAATCTTTTCTCTAACTACTTGACCACATCCTTACAAGGAAGTGTTATACAACAGGGCTATGTGCAAAGCTTCAAAGGAGCATTTCACAAAGCATTCTGGCCAAGTATAAAAGCAGGAGCAACCTATTTCTCTAGAACACCTACAGATATATCCAAAGAAGCAAAGCAGCTGTGCATATACATACACAAAAGCTAATAGCCAGAGAAAGTCTTCATAACAGCTGTGGTGAGTCTTCCAGAGGTCAGGGCTTTAACCCTTTGAAGGGTACTTTATTCACCTTAGGATCCTTGATAAAGCACACTTTTGGAATGCTTTCTATATTACTATTATAGGACATTATTGTCTGAATGAGAATTATTTTTGTAAACCTTCATTTTTAAAGTCTCACTCACCCTGTTCTAGAAGCACCAGCAAAAACCACCATTTACAGAGTCCTCCAACCCCCTCAGAGCCCTCTCAGAACCCAGATCAACCAGTGAATTTTCTTGCTGGTAAGGAACTGGTTTGAATTTGACCATGTGCATGAAAAATGTAAAATCTCCTGCAGATTTCAGCTGGCCTGGTTCTGATCTCTTGTCACCAGGGGAAAAAATGAAGAAGCGAATCTGAAAAGTAGACCAGAAGACTTGGCCCAGTCCCAGAGAGACAGTATTTTCTATGAGTAATCTGGGCCATTTCAGAGTAAATCTGAAAATGTCAAGCAAACAATCACTGACAATTACAGAAAAGTTTCTGAAACAAAATGCCTCAAAGAAAAACAGATATTCTGCTGTTCAGCAAGACTTACCCTCCATTGGCAGGAAGAAAGCTCGGTTTCAAAATCTGTTGAAGAAAGCTGTAGATGTTTTGTTTCATATCAGATTGGTACA